TCAGTAGTGGGGCACTGCCTGGGTAGTGGTGGACATTCTTCCCTGCACTGAGCTGGACCATCCTGGGTCCTGTGCTTGTTGCAAAACTCTCAATCCAAAGCATTTCAGATTGTTTGTTTTGTGGAGGTTGTACCCGATGAGCCAGATCGCCTGGCTCCCTGTCTCAGCTCCCTCCCTTTCAGGTGAATGGGCAGGTCTGTCTCCCAGGCCTTCAGGGTGCCAGTCGAAACGGCTTCCCAGACTTATGTGAGTTTCTGTGCACCCACCTGGCACCGGCTGAAACTGCCATGCTGAAAACTCTTGGTGCTTTTTGGCTGGAAATCTCCTGGTCTCTGTGCAGTGAAAACTTGTTTGGAAATGCGGTGAGCACTCACCCTCTGTGCTGTTCTCGCTGGGAACTGCACTCCAGAGCTGTTCCTATTTGGCCATCTTGGATCCTCCCCCTGTGCAGGCATTTTTCTAAGTGCTTTATATCATATATTTTGTCATCTTCCTAATATCCTTACAGTTAGATATTAATAGGATTCCCATTTTAGAGTTAAAGTGATACAGAGGAACTGATAATTTGGCTGAAGTTACACATACCTAATAAAAGGTAGTCTGACTCCAGAGCCCATGATCACTTTGCTAAGTGATCTGTACTTAGATATCCTAAGTACAGATATCTAAATATTTATCTAGGATTTATGAATCTTTTTTAAAAAATTTAAACTTTTGTGTATGTTTTGTTATCTTTGGGTTTTACCTAGGTAATGTTGGTAAAGCAGACACTGAGTAGAAAAACAAAGGTACAATGTAGTTGACCTTGTTTAGTCATTGTTGATTAATATCTGATATTGTTACAAAAAGTGCATTTATCTCATTAAAAATGTTTGCAAGTTTAATATTTTTTTCAGGACTTGATTTGTTTTATATTTTGCATTGATATTGAAGTTTTATGTATATGAACACTGTGTAACCATATGCTTTTTAGTCATATTATGTTACTAATGAAAACAGCTTTCCATGATGCTTGATTTATCCAATAACGTTTCTTGTAGAAAAATCTTATAGAGTAAACAAACTCAAGGTTTGTTTACTTACAAAGAATAGAGAAAGTATTTGTAAAATGTCTGATGGGTGACTTTCAATTTACACAGTCAATGTGATTTAGTTGTAAAAGATGGCTGTAAAATAAATTTTTATTGAAAAGAAACAGTTTTTCTATTTATATTCAATACTGAAAACATGGATGTGTGCTCCCAAAGCATAGATCTGATAGATTCAGTTATACAATGTTTTCAGGATTCAACCAAGTGTAATATGTAATTGGAGCTATAGTAATAGGGTGTATACTACAAATTCCTTAGGCTTTTATAGCTATCTTTGAATTTTGGTTTACCTCAACTATTGTTTCCTTCCATTCATCTCAAAATTGGAATTTTTCTACATCTGTGAATCTCCTGGCAGTCCCCTCATTACTCTTGTTAACTAAATCCCCCTCCTTCTCCATTCCTATGGATTTTTTCAACATATAATAGCATTGGGCTGTAATATATAATGTTAATTGGTGCCCCACATGTGCATAAGCAAGTTGATTTAAAATTCTACATTCTGAAGTATTTAAGATTTGTAAGCGTAAATTAGTACTATATTATACTGAAGCTGTAGAAAGAAACCTGTGCTGTTGCAAATTATTTATGTTATTATCCTTTGACTCACATCTTTTCTACATATTGAATATGTCCTAAAATTATCCTTAAAGCCTTACATTTTAGAGGTGACAAAACACATTTAACACTTTCTTTTAAAACAAAGAGAATGTTAAAAGCATGTGTTTTCTCTTATTTTGGTATATCTTTTATTTATTATTGTATAATTCTTTCAGCAATAAACTTGGCTTCTAAATACACAGCGACTTCAAGGTTAGATTCTGTGGCATAGGAGGAGGCTCCATGTACTAGCCAAAGTTGTAGAATTAATAAAGAAACATCTAGCTACACCTCAACTAATTTAACTTCCATTTCAGATACTGGATTTTTCACCTTCCTTTTTTCTTTTCTTTTTCTTTCTTTCTTTCTTTCTTTTTTTGAGATTGGGTCTTGCTTTGTCGCCCAGGCTGGAGGGCAGTGGCACAGTCTCAGGTCACTGCAACCTCCACCTCCAAGGTTCAAGCAATTATTCTGCCTCAGCCTCTCAGGTAGCTGGGACTACAGGCGTGCGCCACCATGCCTGGCTATTTTTTTTTTTTTGTTGTTTTTAGAGGAGATGGGATTTCACTATATTGGCCAGGCTGGTCTCAAACTCCCAGCTTCATGACCCACCTGCCTCAGCCTCCCAAAGTCCTGGGATTACAGGCATGAGCCACCATGCCTGGCCATCCCTTTTTTCCTGTAATAATTTTGTTTCCTTAAGATTTCTGGAAATGTTTATTTGAGTGCTGCAAAATCAGTGCATGAAAGGTTACAAAAGTTCTTTTTAGAATATCTTGGTAAGATGATACCCAAATTGTTCTGGACTTCAATAACTCAAGTTTTTAAATTCAAGTTTATTAAAAAATAATTAAGATAATAGGGATGTGGGGCTGTGCATTTATTTTTCATTTGTATAACTCTTACAGCCAAAGACACATATCTTAAAGTCTTCATCTTGTTCCAACTCGTTATGTGACATTGCACAAGTCACTTTCTTCCCACAAAATTTTTACTATTTACAAGGCATTGTAACAGGGCTCACAAGAGAAATTAGATATGCTCCTCTGTCTCAATGTTCATAGTAAGGTCAGGGAGACTGACATTTAAAAGCATAGTTAAAACATTGTTACAATGGACATACCAGAGGTATGTGGGAGGAAAGGTTATACTTTTCTGAGCCACTGTTCCCTTTAGTGCAACAGGAGGTTGTTTTAACACTTCCCCAAACAGTCTCACAGCAGGGTTATGATAAATACAGAAATTTAAATGATATATTTATGCTAAAAGGACTTTATAAAGCATAAGATCATTAGCAACGTAAACCAATAGCCTTAAGTTTGGTATACATTTGAGAATCCTACTTTAGAATCCTACCTCCTCAGGAAATGATTGCACATATGAGAAAAGATGTATACAAAAGGATGCTGATTCCAGTACTGTTCATAAGGGGGAAGAATGACATCTAAATTAGCTAGCAGTAATATCTTAAATATCTATTAGTAGGGGAATAGTTAAATAAAATATGATAAACCTAAATGTTAGAATTGTAGGTAGCCATGGAAATTAAGGCTGAGGATCTGTGTAAAATTTCTTGAACATTTAAAATATAAAAATGCCTCATACTGTTGAAAATTCAGCTTACAAAACAGCATACATCACGTGATTCTACTTTAGGAAAATTATGTGTGTATATATATATGTTTATATGTGTATACGTATATATAAAAATATTCACTGTAAGTATGTGTGTGTATATGCATATGTGTATGCGAGTGTGTATGTATACACACACAGAATTAAAAGAAGAATGTTCAAAAGTACTGATGGTAATTAACGTGCATTTTTTGTGTGACATTTATTTGCTTTATATTTTTCCATTTGAAAATTTAAGTATGTATGAAATAATAAAACGATATTTAACATATCTTATAACTGTAATAAACTTTTATAGAAATGTTTTAAATTGGATAATATGCTAACAATAGTAGTTTACATTCAACAACAATATTTTGAGTGACTACTATGTGTAGGCATTATTCTGTGTATGAGGACAGAATGATGAATGATGCAGAGAAAAATCCCTGGATAGTAATCTGGAGCAGGATGATCATTTCTTTAAGATACTATTGAAAAAAAAAACAAGTTCTAAACCTAACAAAAGTTAAAAATTGTGTTAATGTTTTGTTTGCTCTAATAGGTAAAGACTTGGCCAGAATACCTAGGTAGGATGCCTAGATTAAAATAAAGCCATTTAGGCTTTCAAAAAAGTGAGGCATCCAAAACCTTACCTTTACAAAGTAGTGTTTTCAATGAACTCCATAATGTACTATGAAAAAATGTGCTTGAATATTTCCCTCCCTCCCTCCTGTCCTCCCACCCTCCCTCCCTCCCTCCCTCCCTCCCTCCCTCCCTTCCTTCCTTCCTTCCTTCCTTTTTCCTTCTTCTTTTACCTAGTTGGTAACTATGAGGTCTAAACCTCTATGAATAAACATTCTGGAAATGTTTCCTAACAAAACCTTTCTAAGATCAGGTGATTATACATATTCATAGGTAACTGAACTCAACTCTGAATCAAAAGCATGTTAAATTAAGTAAGGACAGGCTAATCTTAATTAATGTCGACATCTTGTACTGTATGTCTGCTTACATTTTAAATTAATTTTTATTCAATTATTATATGTTCAAGAGTGTACTCAAATGTGACTTTCCAGATGATTTATTGGGACCTGTTCAGTCTCTGCCTCGTGAGTCCCCAAGAAACAGCTTGGGTGGTAGCAACATCATGTTTTTAAGGAAATGACAGGTTCTACTGTGTTTTGGCAATTAAGATACATTCCTTTAAAGCAACTCTGGGAAATCAAGTTATTAGAGACATTTTAATTAATTCATATAATGCTAGAATACATTTTCTTAAAATTGCTTACAGCTAATACATATCTCTATATTAATTATAGTCATATGGTATTAAGAATTTTCTTCTTCCTCTTGCTAACCAAATTATTCACGCAATTTTTTTGTGGTTTTCACTTAAATAAATAATATGAAATAACTTGGTCGATTGGGCAACAAGTTTCTAGCTATACAGAAGATAGTAACTGTCCACGAAATGTAAGGAGAAACATTTTTGCTTCTCTTATATTGTACCTTTAGAGTCAATTCTCTTGAAGGTTGCTACCTGAAAATTGCAAATACTACACATCAGCTGTTTGATATAATTACACTTTTATTTATAAGCTTAGAAAGTAGTCTTTACTTATGAAGACCTCTGTCATGTAAACATAGCTGAAGCAATTTTAATAGTATTAATGTGAAACTTTTTTTTTTAAGATACGAGGAGGAAAGCTCATGATCACTTACACCCGTAAAAGTGACGCTGGCAAATATGTTTGTGTTGGTACCAATATGGTTGGGGAACGTGAGAGTGAAGTAGCAGAACTAACTGTTTTAGGTAAGTGTAATTTTATTTCATTTTCTTACCGAAAAATATATCTCTTACCACTTTGTATGCAAGGGAGAAAGAAATATTGGTAAGCCAAATATTTTTGGGAGGTTGGGTAGAAAGAGGAGAGAAGAAACCAGAAAAGCAGTCTGAGATAAAATAGCCGAAGATATGAGTGGAGGGCTAGGAGGAATCATTAGACCTAGGGAGAAACTTCTAGAAAGAGGGAACTCTGTGGAATAATTTTCTCACTATTATTTTAAATTAAAAATATGCTCTTACTGAACTCCTAAAGTGTTTTTCACCCGGTTCATTTTAAAATTTTACCTTGAGACGGCTCTTTTCTAATTTTAGAGAGACCATCATTTGTGAAGAGACCCAGTAACTTGGCAGTAACTGTGGATGACAGTGCAGAATTTAAATGTGAGGCCCGAGGTGACCCAGTGCCTACAGTACGATGGAGGAAAGATGATGGAGAGCTGCCCAAGTCCAGGTACAGATCAGAGTTTCGTGATGTGATTTATCCACTCAGCATCTCTACATTTCTCATCGCATCCTCTCCACATCCAGGCCATTAGAACAGTCCACTCTAGCATCCTCGATCAGGGGCCAGATACAATACTAGAGATAATTAGCACCAGGAGGTTGCCATCCTGCTTTATCTGAGGCTTTCAGAGAACTGTGCATTCATGACTCTCGTCTGCACAGGGAACACTTGTAAAATGTGATATTCTTTAATATCACAGATTTGTCTTCTGTTTAGCCAGATGACAGTTAATACTAATTTTTGTATGGTAGTAGGCAGCAAAGGGAAGAAAGATAGATACAGCATTACCGACATATCTATGAGCCACTTAAAAATCAGGCTTCCTTTTCCTCAGCTATAATATCACCAGGGAAGGGTAGGAGAGGTCAGAGTTTCTTGATATCTGTCAAGTCCTTAAATTAGCTAGGAGTAGAGACGGACGAATCAGGGAGGCTTAGGGAATGAGGCAATGAAATACAGGCTTTCAGGTGTTGTCAGTGGGCTGTCTTCTCCAGTACGTTCATTCATTTAGCAAACATGTGTTGAGCCTTTTCTCTAGGTGTTGGGATTACAGTAGTGGTTTAGACACGGTTTCTGCTCTCAAGGAGCTCACAAAAGGAAATGTATTGATATACAGAATGACTTTATTAAGCTGCTATGATTTGCTCTGTGTTCCCACCAAATCTCACCTTGAATCATGAGATTCACTTATTAAGAGTGGAATCAGGTGGAGATAACTGAATCATAGGAATGGTTTCCCCCATGCGGTTCTTGTGATAGTGAGTGAGTCCTCACAAGATCTGATGGTTTTATAAGTATCTGGCCCTTCCCCTGCTGGCACTCATTCTCTCTCCTGTTGCCTTGTGCAGAGGTGCCTTCTGCCATGACTGTAAGTTTCCTGAGGTGTCCCCAGACATGTGGCGCTGTGAGTCCATTAAACGTCTTTCCTTTATAAATTACCCAGTCTTGGATATTCTTCCTAACAGTGTGAGAATGGACTAATACATAAGCTTTTTTTACTTTTGTCACATGAAAGTAAACCTGGGCCAGCTCCGAAGGGGAAGTTTGGGAGAGTTCTCAAAGAAACATGACACATAAGTAATGTCTTGAAAAGTACGTAATCAATCTGATAAGCAAGAAAGAAAACAAGAGTATTCCAGGAAATAGGTCATCTCAACATAGACACAAAGCTGAGAAGTAATGTCATGTATTTTGAGTGGCATAAAACTTAGCATGGCTTGGGCATAAGATTTATGATGAGAAGTATGAGATATCAGGTTGAAACCAAGAAGGGCTTTGTGTAATAAAGAATTTCTAATGATATTGTATGCACAATGGTAAGCGAAGATTGTTAGTATAAATGGGTTTACTCTTTCAAAAAATTAATTTTGTTGGCTGCACATGGTGGCACATGCCCATAATCCCAGCACTTTGGGAGGCCAAAGTGGGTGGATCACCTGAGGTCAGGAGTTTGAGACCAGCCTGGCTAACATGGTGAAAACTTATCTCTACTAAAATACAGTAAGTAGCTGGGCATGGAGGCGCATGCCTGTAACCCCAGCTACTGGGAAGGCTGAGGCAGGAGACTTGCTTGAGCCCAGGTGGCGAAGGTTGCTGTGAGAGGAGGTCACGCCACTATGCTGTAGCCTAGGTGACAGAGTAAGACTTATATCCAAAAAAAATGATAAGAAAAAATAATTTTGTTAGCACTATGGGTGTTACATTATTCTGGGGAGAGGCTAGTGGCAGGGATATTTTTGTGGTTATCCAGATCTGAACTGCGAGGTGAGATGGAGACAGGACTCTCCAGGAAAGACAAATTTCTAAGACTAAAATGACAACTTGGATGACTTTTTAGATATAGAGAGCTGGTGAAAGAAGATAGGTAAATGTGTTAAGACAAGGGGTTGGTTAATATTAGGGGAAGAAAAATAGAGTTTTATTTAATACCTTAAATATTAGGTGCCTATGGGATGTGATGTCTAATTATTAGTCAGTTAGAAATCTGAATTTGGAACTTAGATAAATTAGGGGTTGGAAATATTTGCATGGTAGATCAATATAGAAAATATAGTAGATAACGTAACTAAGGGAGATCATGTAGAGTGACAAGAGGATTAAAGTGAAAGCTTAAGGAAAACCCAACATTTAAGAGGAGGGAAGATGAGGCAAGACAAGTGAACTTGAAAATGAAGGTGGGTTTAAATTTCAACTCTGCCACTGAACTAGATGAGGACCAAGGCCAAGTTACTTTACTTCCTAGACCTCAGTTTCCTCATCCAATAAATGGAGGTGAGCATAACAGTGATTTCATACCACTGTTATAAAAACTTGGATAAAATCTATAAAACATTTCAATTCTGGCAAATGGTAAGAGTTTAATTAGGGGTCACTATCTTTTCGTTTTAGTGTGAGCACAATAGCTTGAGGAAATAAGTGGGTAAATGCCAACGTTACCCCAAAATCTTCTTTTAGAAAGTAGTTAGCCCACATAATGATAAAAACAAGCTTTTCTTCTGCCAGCTGACTTAGAGGAATACCACATTTTATGCTTCGTTTTAAATGATCAGAAGTGAATACGGCATGTGATTTGAAGCACCGCGTGTATAATGATGAGATCTTTCAAGTGGAAAGTCACCTAACTGTGCTTTCTTTTGTTATGTCATCAGATATGAAATCCGAGATGATCATACCTTGAAAATTAGGAAGGTGATGGCTGCTGACATGGGTTCATACACTTGTGTTGCAGAAAATATGGTTGGAAAAGCCGAAGCATCTGCTACTCTGACTGTTCAAGGTAGGCATTGGGGAAGCCTATGTTGTAGTTGTTTCAGCATACAAAATATAATGCTGATAATTGAAGAAAATATTATGTATAGGCCTATGTTACATATAGACTTTACGTATGGCTCTAAATATGTATTTCAAACATATTTAAATAACACATATTGTTTTGCCTATGAAAGTTCTAAGTATTTGTTACAGGAAATTGAATTAAATGTTCAAAATTATGTAGAGTTCTATGTTGGTCAAGTAGAAGCCAAGAATGTGCTTTAAACTCCAGGTCTTCAAACACAGAGCCCTTCTAATCTTTTAATTAAATGACAGCTCTTGCTGTCTTGGAGGAAACTCTGTGTTTGGACAAAAACAAATCTTTCATTACTTCAAGATCATGCACTCTCAAGGACCTATATGATTTGTAACAGAAAAACAAGAAGGTTCTATTACTCTTTAGAAGGTGGGATTCATTCATAGAATAGGGGCTTTGAAATTATTTTCTGTGCACATAATGCCTGTGTCATAACACTCAATAAATACCAGTTGAATGAATGAATTGCATTTGTACTCTGCTAATTTTGATACAGATTTATTATTTAGTATCAAATGAGCCCAAGTGAATACCATGTTCTATGGATACAAGGTTTTTGAAAGTCAAAGTCACATCTTATACTGATACAAGGAAATATTTCTGTCACCTCCTTTGCATCCATAATACAGAAGTTTTTCGCTCTTATAATCCCATTTTGTTTTTCTCCATGATGTCATGCTGATTATTTCTCACTGTCTTATCTTAGAACTTTCCCCTATTTTTTTCCTTTTAAGTGGCAAGTTGTGTATTGTGGAATTTCAGAGGCAATGATCTTTAAAAAACATATTATTGGTTGGGAAAGAATTCCTATTTTGACAGTATACGTAGTAAATAGGAGCTCTGGCCATAAACCACTTAGCTTGTTTTGGGGTCTAACATTAGCAACACTTGATGCTGTCATATTTTCTGAACACTATCTCTTCCAAGACTATTAAGAAAAAAAAAGGTGGCTTTTGAGGGAGTGCTTCTACTGTGTGCTTTGTACAAAAGAGCCTTGTGGGCTTTTTACACTAGGAAAAAAAAAAGAGAAAGAATACTTCCTTCCTGTCTCTAAAGCCATTATATCCCACTTTGGGGTTTTTAGCTCAGCCTCATAAAAACAAGAGAAAAAAAAGGAAAGATCAAGAACAAACATTGAGTTTCTAAGGCCAAGACTACTTCTCTTTAATCTAAGTTAGACTTGAACTCCAAGTAAGGCTAAAACTAAGAAAAGAAATCCTCTTCACATTTACAGAAAGCATAAATTTAAGAGGTGTCAAATCCAAGTTCAAAAGCCCTCCAGAGGGAGTGAAGGTAGCCAGGATGAATACAAGACCTGTGTCTCCAGGCAATTGTGATAAGGAGGTTGACTGCCTATCGTAATAGTCAGTGAAATGTGTTTTCGCTTTGTGTTTTAAAGTACTTTACCTTGGTAGCCTGATGCTTTTATAAATTACAGTAATTCTGGTATATATACAGTCGACAATGAAATCAAAATAGAGTTTCTTCCTACAATTTTAAGTTCAGTTACCAAACTCATTCAGCTTTAAGTTTTCCATATGGAAATCTTGTTTTCTAAGCCTGGATTTCAATGGAAATTGGGTACAAATTATCAAATCCAGAAACTACCTGAATTTAGAAGCTCTCATTTCAACTGCATTGTGTTTTCTATAAATTTTTAAAAGATCTGTGTATAGTTGAGAACATATTATTCAAAATTAAAATAAAATATGCCTATGAACATCACTGTTAAAACATCTTTAGTATCCTGGCGTAATAAACACAGTATGTTAAAGAGAGTAACATGATTCCCAACTGCAAAAGATAACTAAGAAAAAAACATTCAAAGGAAACCTGAGAAGATACGCCTTTTTTCGTCTTTTGAGATTGAATGTAGAAAAATACCTTTTACTACAAAGGAAACTAATCAGAAATGAAGCCATTTGGTAGCAGGAAATATTTAAAGTTAAAAAAATTCAGTAGTATAATTGTATTGTTAAAAAACTTTCTGTGTTTCGTGTATGGTTCATTTTTAAAAAGACAGTGTTGGAGTCAGTATGAGGTTAAACATAATCTTTCTCTCCCTCACGTCTCATACATGAGTATTTAATTTGGATAATTGATGTTAAGGCAGCAAAGCCCTGTGATGCAGGTAGAAGTTGTGGGAATAAATTACTTTACATGAGGGTTGCCATTGGATTTTCACCTCGAGCACAGATCCAGTTAATTGCAGCATCTTAAAAAGAACCCTTACTTGAGAATGTTCTTTGTCAAGGTGTTCTTGTAATCCCAAATTCTTCTGTTTTTTAGACTATATGTCTTTAAATATTCCTCTCTTGACCCTAGGGGTTTCCTTGGCTTTTCTACTTGTGTGCTCTTCACTGTGCTTTCATGGTACTGGACATCTAGTAGGCACTTTAATAAACTCTGAAAATTTGAAATGTGAATATGCATTTCAAACTTTTGTTTGAATGGTAGAAATAGCATGGGGACCAGGTGCGGTGGCTCACATCTCTGATCCCAACATTTTGGGAGGCTGAGGCAGGTGGATCACCTGAGGTCAGAAGTTTGAGACCAGCCTGGCTAACATGGTGAAACCCTGTTTCTACTGAAAATGCAAAAAATTAACCAGGCTTGGTGGTGTGCACTCGTAATTCCAGCTACTCAAGAGACTGAGGCAGGAGAATCACTTGAACCTGGGATGCAAGGGTTACAGTGAGCTGAGATCACGCCATTGCACTCCAGTTTAGGCAACAAGAGCGAAACTCCATCTCAAAAAAAAGAAAAGAGTGGAGGGGAGGGAAGAGGAGAGGAGAGAAAAGAAAAGAAATAACACAGGGACATCCTAGGGAAAACTTAAGCAGCTTCTGGTGGCATTGATCCTGGGTGCCGACCGTAAGCTCCATTTGATCAAATTTGAAGAGATTACCATTTGTGAATGATGCTGCCTCATGACCTGGGTTTGAAGGAGCACAGTAGTTGTTTACTATCTGTCTGTATCTCATAACATCATGTTGTTTACCGTAAATGTATACAATGAAATGTATTTTTAATAATGAACAGAGGTGAAAAGGGAACAGAGTAAAATCTAGGGTTAGACAGTGTTTCTTAAACTTTCCTGAAGTTATTTGTTAAGCGTACAGATTATCAGTCATGGCCTCTAGAAAATTCAATTTAGGAGATCTAGATTGGAGGACAGAAATTTATTTTTATTTTTAAACAAGCAACGTCACAAACCTCAGGAGTGAGGAGTTCCTGGATGAACCGGCAGAAAGAATGAAATAAGTTTTTAAAATGTCTTTATAATTTGAGATTTACAAGGGTGGAAGAAGAATACTAAAGATAACGGTATTGCTAAGAGAATAGACATTGGAATCAAACAGAATTTAGTTGAATCATGATTCTGTCATTTACCACTATGTAACCTAGAAGAGTTTAAGTAAATTTCCTGAGACTCAGTTGACCCATCTGTAAACCAGACACAGTAATACCAGTCTCATAGCATTTGTATAAAGATTCAATTACATGTATGTGTGTATATATATATATATATAAAATATTTAACATACTATCTGTTATACAGTAAATGTTTTGTAGGTAAAGAGCACTGTATTTATTATGAGTGTTACTATTGATAGCTCTATTGCTTAATTTCAATAATTATTTAGTAAGAAAAATAGTTTTAGATAATTCTAGATAAGTAGCTCTTCTATTGTAAGTGAAAAATGTGAAATACCATTACTGTCATGACAATTTATTATGTAACACATTATTTAAAACATCTCAAATATATAAAAATTACATTTTTATTTTTTAAAACCTTTATTGGAAGGTTAGGCAGGAGGAATCCTTGAGGCCAGAAGTTCATGACTCTATCTCTACAAAAAAGAATTTAAAAATCAGTCATGCATGTTGATGTGCACCTGTAGTCTCAGCTACTTGGGAGGCTGAGGCAGGAGGATGGCTGAGTCCAAGAGTGGGAAGTTGCAGTGATTGTGAACCCCATTATTGTACTCCAACCTGGGTAATAGAGTGAGACCCTACCTCTAAAAATTAAACTAAATTAAAAAGCCTTATGGACTGTTATAATAAAAGTGTTGGATTTTGCTCATGCCAGCAAAGCTAGTGCTAGATATGTATTGAGTTTTGCAAAATAAGTTAGATAAATTATTGAAATTTATGACCATTTTGGGAGAAAAATTAATCAAAAAGATTGCATCACATGTGCATTGGAGTGTTACTGTTATGAAAGAACATTCAGCAGAGAGTTTTTTGTAACAGTTTTGATTCCATTATCTCTAAGAGTGATTGTTTTCTACATTTTTAGATTCTCAGTACCTCAGTTTCTCTCTGTAAAATAGTGGTGCTTCATTACAATTCATACAGAAACGAGTAAGGTTATCCATGAATAAATATCGTCAAAAACTTCTTTATCTCCTTAACGATCATTCCAAAACATGGATGAAATATGAGGTTGCAATCTGTTAACAGAAAGTAATTGCACCACTAAAACCTCTATCACTTCTGGTATAACATTGGTGGGATTACTTGTTCCTGGCCAGGAGAATGCCAAAGTCAAATTAAAATTTTGAATCAAATAACATATTGATTACTTAATAATGTAAGTTTTATTTTACTTAGGAAAGAGGCAAACTGTAATAAAATTTTGGCGATATTAGGAAGTTTGGGTAAAAATATATGTTTCCTGGGCTCTGTAAATATTTAGGTAATGAAAAGAAATCCTAATTCCTTTAACTTGCATGTTGGTATATACAGTACGCCAATATTGGTATATTGTTGAAACTAATTGTTAGAATGAGATCCAAAGTCTCTACAGTAATGACCTACTGAAGAATAATCAATATTCATTATATCACCAATACAAAATAGTGAGAGAATCCTTTTTGGGGAAATTACAACAAAAAAGTGTTTGTGCTTAACTTCCAGTT